CCATATGTCATTGGGTATTTGAATATCATTGCTGATGCATCAGCAAATGATTTCAATTGACCATTTAATTTTTGAGGTTGTGACCATAAGCATTTATCATTTTTACCCCATACATAATACTGTGATGAATCAACCAAAGTCAATGAAAATTTGAGATTATTTTTACAAGCAACGTTTTGCACATTTTCAAGAGGTATTTTTGTCGGTACAGTTACATTGATACCAAGTTGAAGATGCCCACATCCGAAAATCTGGCCATCCTCGAGTAAAAATAAAGAATGAAATGCACCGGCCAAGATACTTTTGATCGGATTGGTAATCAAATCATTCTGAAATGAAACGAGTGATGGTGTCCTTCGGCCATTTTTATCACCAAGACCTAATTGTCCATTCGAATTACGGCCCCAGGAATAAAATTCATTTTTATTTGTTAAAGTAAGACAATGATGCCATCCACAAACTATTATTTCGACATTCATTAAACCAGTGTTCACAAGAGTTTCATACGATGATTCAGAACTACCGGTTAATTGACCATATGTGTTCGCTCCTAAAGCAAAAAGATGACCATCACGTCGTAGCAATAATAAATGATTGGATCCACAGGCAATCATTTGAAAACGATCATCACCAGTAGAAATTAATCGAAGAGTATTGTTCGTTTGCCAATCTGAATTTTCACTGGCCAGATAAACTTGACCATCACATGTTAACATTACAACAAATTCTTTGCCTGAATCTACTTGAATAATTTTTTTTCTATTCAAAATGTTGATCTGTTTTGGTTGTGTCGGATCATGTATTAACGATAACCATGTGCATATGTCTTCGCCAAAAGCATATGTTGCATCATTGGTCATACAAAGATAACCATAATACTGATCACAAAAAATCGATACAATTTTTCGGATAAATTCACGATCGATAAGATGAAAATCATCTTGAAATAATTCAATATCAACACAGGTATCAGGCGAATTTGCCATTGTTTTTTATTTTCTTTCAAAAATTCGAAAAGTATCAGTTCATGTGTCCTTGTTCATTATTAAGATTTCTATTTTTCATTAACACACATATTTCATTATTTTTTTTTTGTTGTTATCAATTTTAAATGGAAAAAAAAATTTTGTTCTCGAAAAATTTTTGCTTTTTCAATAGAACAAAAAAAAATTGTTTTGAATATTAAACAAAATGTAAAATTTTATTAAATTACATTTCACATTTAAAACAAAATTATTTATAATTCAATTCAAAAAAAAAAAATGGTTGATTAATTAAAAGTTCAAAAGAATGTTTGTTCATTATAGAACCAATTAAGAAAATGATTTAAAGTATTTTCATCGGCCATCTGTAAATTGTCACAAAATTTTGACAATGTCGGTTGTTCGACATACTGACAAAGATCATCATCGAATCCATTCAATTTATAATTGATTATCAATGGAATAAGTGAATGGATCGATTGTTGGGTAAAATTTTTACCAATAAATGTATGACAATATTCCATCAATCGTTCATCATCATAGAAATTTGCTAAATCGATCAATTCGGCAATATTGTTTATATTGATTCGAATGTAGCCATCATGTAACATTCGAATATAAGAATAGTATGTATCATAGGAATAATATTCAATGGTTACACTATCTTTTTGTCGCCAATTACGAAAAAACATACGAAAAAAATATGTAGATGCCGATTTTAGAAATGATTTACATGTCTGGATACGTTTATCACCGATAATAAATTCAAAATCATAATTTTTCGGATTATTTAATAATTGGTTGATTGATCTGTTCAATATTGAACAATTTGATTCAAACACATCAATTGTTGATGTTAAGCCATATGTCATTGGGTATTTGAATATCATTGCTGATGCATCAGCAAATGATTTCAATTGACCATTCAATTTTTGAGGTTCTGACCAGAAGATATCCTCATCTTTACCCCATTCATAATACTGTGATGAATCAATTAAAGCCAATGAAAATTTGAGATTATTTTTACAAGCCACGTTTTGCACATTTTCAAGAGGTATTTTTTCTGGTATAATTTCATCAATACCGGCTTGATACCCAAATCCAAAAATCTGACCATCCTTTAGTAAAAATAACGAATGAAATGCACCCGCCACAATACTTGTAATTGGATTATTAATAAAATCATCCTTAAATGAAATAAGTGATGGTGTCCTTCGATCAATTTTATCACCAAGACCTAATTGTCCATTAGCATTACGGCCCCAGGAATAAAATTCATTTGTATTCGTGAAAGCAAGACAATGCCATAGTCCACAAGCTATTTTTTCGACATTCGTTAAACCAGTGTTCACAAGAGTATCATACGAGAATTCAGAATTTCCGGTTAATTGACTATAGTTATTTGCTCCTAAAGCAAAAACATTACCATCTTGGCGTAACATCAACAAATGTTTGCATCCACATGCTATCATTTTATAACAATCATCACCAGCTGAGATTAATCGGAGAGTATTGTTCGTTTTCCAATATGAATTTCCACTGGCCAGATAAACTTTTCCATCACAAGTTAAAATAGCAACAAATTCCTCGCCCGAATCTACTTGAATAATTTTATTTTCATTCGAAATATTGATCTTTTGTGGTCGTGTGGGATCATGTTTTAATGATAACCATCTACATATTTTATCGCCAAAAACATATGTTGCAGCGTTGGTCACCAAAAGATAACCATAATACTGATCACAAAAAATCGATACAATTTTTCGGATAAATTCACGATCGATAAGATGAAAATCATCTTGAAATAATTCAATATCAACAC